CTCACCCTCTTCTCGGGTGCTCGTATCCTCACGAAATATATTGTGTGTGTGAAAAGATTGATACAAGTTTCTAATAATGGGTTATAAGTTCGATAAAAATATGTTGGAAATAAAAAATGCTATAATTCCAATATTAGAGCATATTATTTTATATTAAGTGTTTACGCGATTTTTTTTATGATATTAATATTATATTTCCCGAAAAGAATTCCTTGTAGAATAAAATATATCATAAAGAATTAATAATATATATTTGCGAAATATAAATTTTAATCGCTTCTTTCTCTCTCTTTCTCTTCGCGCCTGTTTGCACTGCTCGAAAAAAAGGGGAGAAACTTGTTTGCTCGATCGATCGGTCGAAAAATGGGTGGCTGCAGGGGGCGCCGGTCGATTTTTTGCCGGCGTTTCGAGACCGTCCGACGAACAGTAACGCGCAAAGGAAAACGAAGGGGAACGAGCAAGGGAATATAAAGTAAAAGGAACGCGAGCGCGAAGCGAATGGACGTGTAAATACTCGCGTGGTCGATTCTTAGGTAAAAGAGGCGCGTCGCTTTTGTTCGAGCCGCCAGGTATCGATATTAACGGGAATCGATTCGTCCCGCCAGGCCACGCGGTTGCTCGCCCCCCACCCCCGCCTCGGCGGACTACCTACCCTAATCGTTTGGTCTCGGGGGGCCCTCGAGTGCCCCGCTCCCGCTGTTTTTCGAGGCATCGTCCTCGCGTTCCCGCTCGCGCGCCTTTTCTGTCGCAGGAGCGCGACCGATCGCCGGATCGATCGACTTTGTACGGAATATGAGATTCCGTCGAACGCCGCTTTTGATGTCCGCCGTTTAATTATGCCCCCTCGCTCAAAAACCGGGAGCCAATATCACGTGGACGCGAGAGGAGGAGAGGGACGGGAGGAGCGAGAGAGAGAGAGACCGAGGGGGAAGAAGAGAGAGAGAGCACCTCGGGGGGAAATTCAGTCACGAGGAAGGGAATGTGCAAATGCCATCGCGAACGCCGAGCCACTGCAATTTTGTTCTTGTAGCGCAGTCTCCCCCCGAGGAAAAAGACCTCGAGCGAGCGAAATATTGTAATTGCGTTATCACGAGGAGAAAGAATCGCGACGTATGTTGCATGCGGGAAAATGTCTCGCGTTATCCGACAATTTTACGGCGTGAAAATATTTTTCTACTTGTGCCGCGATCTTTGTGTATCGGATATATATGGTGGGATTTATTTCAGCACAACAAATCGACGAATTTATTATACAAGTTACTGATTATTGACTTTTATTTCGGACAATGTTACATTTAAATCACGAGTGAGGTTTCATCTTGGTTGAAAGGATACAAGCGCTTCCGAAAGCATGTTTCTTTTCTGACGGTAACTCGAGAAGGGAAGAAGCCCTCCGTAAGGTTCTTCGAGTGAATTTCAATCTAAAATTCCAACTTGAAACCTTCCGAGTGCGCGCATTTTGCGAGAGATCGATATCACCTGGAAATTCCTCCATGGTATGATGTTTCTTCATCGTGAGAAATCGTATCGAAGTCTTTTAAAAATTCCAATGAAATGATAATGAGAGGGATCTCTTGCGATTATCGTGCTGCTGTGAATTTTCATCTGCATTTTCATATTCATGAAGAACAATTAATAATTATTATCTATTAATTAGTATCATTACGAAATAGTAAAGGAGAATATATTTGCCAATTATCGTGATAAAAGAAAAAATCAATTGTATAAGAGTCTCTAAGAATATGATATATGAAATAATTTCGAGGAAATTTCTATGAACAACGTTTTTTCGATTTACTTTCATATCGCTTTAATATTAATGTCACAAGTGTCTTTCGTGAGATTCTAGTATAATAACGTCACAAGCCCTGCAGAGGTATTCGCGTTTTTACCACCATTATAGCCCTAACTCATGTCATCGTGTTATACTGTTGCGAGAAGTCGTATATAGTCGGATGTTCTATGAGGCATAAATTATGCACGCCATTAGATGTTAACTGTGATCTATGATCACGTATGTATCAGAGTAAACAGCTGATACTGGTAGATAAGAATAGTCCTGCGATTAATTTATATCAGCTTTTTTTTGTTCTTTTATACGTGCATAATTTTTATTAAAATATATTTTATATAATTTTATATGATAATTAATGTATAATTTTATATTTTATATAATTTTAATTTTTTCTATATAATTTTATATGATTATTAAAATATATTTTATATTTTTATTTATTTATATTTTTATGAAAATATGTCCATAAAAAAGAGTTCTTTTATACGTGTATAATTTTTTTAAAATATATTTTATATAATTTTATATGATAATTAATGTATAATTTTATATTTTATATAATTTTATATGATAATTAATATATTATATAATTTTATATTTTATATAATTTTATTTTTCTTCATATATAATTTATATGATTATTAAAATATATTTTATATATAACTTTATATATGATACAAAATTTATATTTTTATGAAAATATATTCAGTCCGTAAAAAGAGTTTGCGAAATGATATACATGTAATGCAAGCCTTCTCAAGTCACGACGGACCATCGCGAATCCATTAGCCGCCGTGCATCCAAATGTTTGTTTTGTTCGGTAGAATAAGAGCAGAAAACGGAGTACAGCGAATGAATAAAGGTCCGTAATGTGCGGATAATCGAGCGTCATGCAAGGTCGATCGATCGATCCACCATCGATCCCCATCGATTTCTTTTCTCTCGACAATTTTTTTCCTTTGCCTTAAGCATTTATTCTTTAGCGATTCCGAAATAGTTTTCTAATTTTCACTCAACGATACAAGCACGTCGTGTCGCTAAAGACCAACAAGAATGTCGCGCGGTCGTTTTTCTTGACGACTGTCAAACCCGGAAATTCGCGTCGCGTGCAAATTTTTTTCCCACATCCGACAGGAGCGAGACGGAAAAGCGTTAACGGCGGATTTGCAGTTTGACGTGGCAAAAATTGGCGCAAATACACACAAAACGACGGTCTCAGACACGGTCTGCATTTCGCTTCTATTTGCTTACCGTTTCTTCGCGCGACTCGACCGGAAGGAATCTGTCCCGATTTCACGCTTATCGAACCTCGTCGCTTTGTATCCTCTTTCGGCGTATCAGCTCCGTCCCTTTTTATCCGAGCCGTCTGTCGAGGCGATCTAAGCACGAATTCATAGAAGCGATAAAATCGACGCGCCCGATAACGGCAGCGATCTCGATTTTTCGCGCCGACGAACGTGTCGAGGCTAATGAGTTCCCTTCGGATAATCGTTCTTTCTTCCCGTCATCGTTCCGCTCCTCCCGTTATAGACGTCGATTAGAAGATATCGTCGCGCGGTTATTAATAGCGATTACCTCCGCGAAATCCTGGTTATGCAAATGCACTCGAGCATCGCGGATGCGACCGAGGAATGGAAGAGAATTAACGGCGATTGAGAGCGCGATTATACCCGTGTTTCGTCTCGATGGAAGGGAGATAGTTTAGTTATTTAAATTATTTAAATAATACCGCGTCGCCTTATTATTAGCCTCATCTTCCACGAGATCCTCTTGATTGTCTTTAAGGATATTTTGTACCTATTTTCAAAATATTAAAGAATTTAATGAAAATTGTTCAGAATGTTCTTGCATATGTTTGGAATCTTCAGTACAATTTTTAAATCGATTCACTAAGGTTCACAAGTTATAAGGATTTTAATTTGCGAATTAACATGTGTTCTTATGGGAAATGTATAATCACGTCGATTCAAATGACAAAAACACATGGAAATAATATTCAGAATTTGTTTAAAATTTGCAAAAGTGTAGTTTAGATACAGAGGAAATATTTGGTCAAATAATATTATACAAGTACTAACTGATTAAAAAGATATTAAATATAATTCAATGAAATTAGCCATGTATCTGACACAAGGCGAAATTCTCTGCCAAAAATTAATCATTTTGATTAAGGATGTTTTGTATTTATTTTCAAAATATTGAGAATTTAATGAAAATTGTTCAGAATGTCCTTACATATGTTTGGAATCTTTTGTACAATTTTTCAGCTACTTTTTGCTAGGATTATACATACAAAACATCCTTAATTATTTGTTTTTATTTTACTTATAATTTTATCGATGATAAAAAATTGCATAAGAATATATGTGTACCTGAAAAATTCAGAGAATTCTCATGGAATTTTCTTGGGACTTGAAAAATTTGTTAAACACATCCTCTCTTGCATAATTTCGCTCTTATTATATATAAATATTCGCGTCGCTTTATTATTAGCCTCATCTTTCACGAGATCTTGATTACCTTTAATTCATATTAATTTTGATATAATTATTCCGTGCGCGTGCTCTTTATTTTACATGTGTGTTTATTTGATGTTACCTCAGGCGCATTGATTCTAGTTATTTATTGGCAAAAGTGGAATGTCCACTCCCTCTGGAAACTCTGGAGTCTTCAAGGTTTCATGAATTTTCTTGGGACTCGAAAAATTAAAAAAAAAATCCTTTCTTGGATTTTGCTCTTATATAAATATTCGACAAGTCAAGTGAATTTTTGTATTTAAAATATGTATCTATGTTTATATATTCAATATCTTTTATAACAAAATATTAAATATGAAGACATATTCTTCATTGTAATTTTTAGATGAAACATTGAAAATTTTATGTAAAGTAAAGGATATTCATCTCATTCAATTTTTATAAATACGTACAAATCTAACACTTGAAACTTAAAAGGCCCCATGTTTTTCCTTTACGAGTGAACATTAAAAAAGACACATGTAAAAGAAACTTCTTAGAAAATTGCGTTAAAAAAATCTTCAAAATATTTCCTTTAGCTGGAACTTTGACGAATAAAATACCTGAAAAATCAGGAAACTTCTTTACAAGATTTAGGTCTAGACCCCACCCGCAAAGGTTTAGAATACAAGATGATTTCTATTTTGAATAGAAGATAAAGTGGCTCATATGATCTTTTCGTGTTTCAGGCTTCCAGGGCACCAACTGCGAGGAGAATATCGACGATTGTCCGGGTAATCTCTGTCAAAATGGCGCCACGTGTATGGACCGGGTAAACGAGTACTCCTGCCTGTGTCCGCCGGCCTTCACCGGGACGCAATGCGAGCTGGACGTGGACGAGTGCTCCGTAAGGCCATCCTTGTGTCACAACGGGGCCACGTGTACGAATTCGCACGGCAGTTACTCGTGTATATGCGTGAACGGCTGGGCCGGGCTTGACTGTAGCGTCAACATCGACGATTGTGCAGGTGCGGCCTGTTTCAACGGTGCCACCTGCATCGATCGCGTTGGCAGCTTCTTTTGCCAGTGCACATACGGGAAGACAGGTAAGCGCGAATGAAATTTGTTATTCACCCAAGATGCATTGATCGAGATGAGGATCATGGAACCAAAATTCCTGGATCCCATCCTCTCGATTTCTGCAGCTTACTCATCAAAGGCGTGTCCCCTCCGAGTGTTGGGGATGTTTAGAATAATTCGGAATCCAGATCCTCTACATTTGGAGACAAGGGATGATCTTTGAGGCATTCTTTACGTGATATAAAAAATTATAACGCACAAAATGATCCTTGTATCTCGAGTATTTTGGTGTCAACGGCTGATGGTCACCAGGATCGACAGGTCTCCTCGGACTGTCGCGAGCTGTAATAGCTGGCTGAAAATATGACGGAAATTCCAGGAATCGAAAAAAGAGAAAGAGAGATACGCCAAGTCGTTAGTCCCGGCTTAGTTTGGCGAGGTCGCGGGCGATCGTAGGGTGATTAACTCGATACCGAGTATGGTCCGGGAACAAGGCTCGCAACTACGGCTCCGATACATCGGCAGGTGCATCCGCACATGTGCCGCGGGGCTGGTACGATGCTCTCTGCGTAGAACGGGTCCTTCGGAATCTTGAGATTCCGAAGACTCCCGGGGGCCTCCGGCCGGCTTCTTCTCGCCGTGTATCGACCTTGGCGACTGGAAACGAGTTTCTGTCCTTACTCGCGCGCCAGAGCGACTAGTCGGGGTATAGAAGACGGTTTTCAGATCGATTCGCGCGGCCAGATCGCCAAATACAGGTGTATTCCTCTCGCGCGCGGCCAGACATCTCATCGTCCGTTCCTGGAAGCCGAGCGGTTTACATTCGACGACAATTCCGAGTCGCAATTAAGCTTGCCTAGCACATACAACACGCGTGTAATACATATAGGATATTTCGCGCGATAAATTATTCATGAATTTTGCAAATAATTCAGTGCTTTTGTCGGGCTTCAAACACGCTGACGCTCGATTCGTTCGTTTTATTAATAGTTATTAATTAATTTAATATCTGATTTAATAATTATTAATTTATTAATAATTTATTCTTTAATAATTATTATTTTATTATTAATTTATTCTTTAATTTATTAATAATTATTAGTTAATTTAATTAATTTATTTATTTAATAGACGATACCTTCTGCGGTTTATTTTTAGAGATGGAACTTTTTCGCAGAAAACTTAACGGACACGCAATGTACGGACGCCTTGTTGCCTCTAGGCTAGTGCGTTTCAGTCCAGAGATATACTTACAGTTAGTCGCGGGCGTGCTCTTGCATCTGCATGCACTTACTCTGGTTTATATATGAATATCCCGGGGACTCTGGTACCGTTACCAGGTCTCATAAAGAAAAGTTCGACACACGCGAGCCATTTGCAAAGGAAAATTGCATCCCACGGTCAGTTTTCTGAATTTTATATCGCTGCTCTAAGTTTACGATGCCGGGGCAATTTCCTCAATTACCTTTGTAATAATTTGTATATCTGCATAATTTAGAGATTGAGAGGCATCGCGAAAAGAGATACAAGGATTCTTCTTGGCGTTGTAGATCATCCACGATCATGTTGATAAAGGAGAGTAAAAATATTTGGCAAAACTGGCGAAATTTATCACCTGCACTTTTTACATCCCATTGGTTATAATTTCATACAAAAATTATCCACATTAAAAATATACCTTTCCATACGAAAGGCAGGAATAAAATATTTTTATTGAGAAATGATTTTTTGCAATAATAATTGCATCGCAAATAAATATAATAAGAAATTATTTAACTACTTATCACTTTATATCCCTAATAATTTGAAAAGGAAAATGAGAGAAAGAAGAACGGTCGCTTTTTTTTTTACAGGCCTGCTCTGCCATCTCGATGACGCTTGCACGTCAAATCCGTGTCACGAGGGCGCGATCTGCGACACCAGCCCTATCAACGGATCCTTCACCTGTTCCTGCGCCACCGGCTATAAAGGACTGGATTGCTCCGAGGATATTGATGAGTGCGAACAAGGTAAGAATTTTATTCCTTTGCATGCTCGTATAATTGCACTTGGGAATTTGCATTCTTATGTCGTCTTTCGCAATTGCGCGAATTTTTTTCCTGACTCTCACAATTCTTTTTTTCCTTTTTTTCTAAATTTATAAATCTAATTATTATTCCTTTATTAATTATCTAAATTATATAATAATTATCTAATTGTTATTAATTATTATTATTAATCTAATTAAATTTCTAAATCTTTTCTTTTTTTTCTAAATTTATAATTCTGCGATTGCATTCGCTTCCCTCCCATTAAATATATTTTTACTCCAACGTCAACCGTGAATTGCAAATTGCCGAATGCCGATTATAAGTTTGCATAATTGCCGATTGCGCGGGGATAAGTTGGATAAAAATGAATCCTTTCATCGACCGATTAATGCTGCGGTTGCCTTAGTAGATCGCTTCTAGATCGATCTGCTCGGTTTATCCGTCCGTTTCGGTCATCTATTAATCCGCGTTTCGAAAGTAATCTCCGTTTAAATCGAGAGTAATGGGCGTCTCGATGGTCGGTATAGTTATTAATGAATCGGGACTCGATTCAAGAACGTAGAAATGGCCAATGGCGCCGTTTGCCCACGATCGGGCAACAAAAATCGCGAGGCTATCAGATAGATGTTATCGTGCGGCGAGACCAGTTTGCATTAAAGTCGCTTGGATGCAATAAATTGCAGCGCTGTCAAATGACAGTCGGGAAAAAGTCACAAATCACTGAAGCAGCAAATGCGACGTGGAACGAAATAAAAACAAATATTTATAAATTATGCGAAATGTCACGTTACATCGATTCAACTATTTCAATCGAACATTGATTTAATGAAATCGATCAATTTCTCGGCGTAATTTAAAATGCGTAATTTCTGGACGAGAATAAGGGAGCCGATGATCCTCGGATATCGCGTGAGCTTTTAATCCGAGACGCGTGCGAAATATATTTATTGCAACTGGAAAGATTTCAATGAATCGCTGATGGAAGACAGTCTCGCCGATCAAAGGTCGTTGCTCTCTCCGTAATATTTCCTTCTGATCACGTATGTTTGTGTGATTGCCTGTCCACCTCGCACGATCTGTGCTTGTTAACACCGCTGCATCAGCGTGGGCAGTACGGTTGTGAGCCAATCGAGGACACGCAAACGATTCTCTTTCTCTCCGCGGAAAGAGAGAGGAGACGAGAATTATCAGTCTATAAATATCCTTCGTTAATAGCTTTATAACTAAAAAGCCGGATCTTACATTTGCCCCAAACGATTTCGATTTTTATCCATCGATCAACTCTCAAGCGAGATAAAAAGCGGGCTCTGGTGCGCTTAGATACTTGTGTACTTTCTTAATGACGAATTAATCATACATAAAACTCGCAAACGTCTCGCAATAAAAGGAAAGGAATGGATCGTGCAATTAAAATAAAATTAAATGTTTTATTTATTAAATATTCGAAAGGATTCTTTGCAAACGTGAATAGTCAAATGACGTGAAAAAAGGAATCGCACGTAATTTAAAGATTAAAATAACATTTCTAAAAAATGTATATATTAACTTATTTAATTGAACTTTGTAAACATATGAATTATTTAAGAAATTATACATTTTTTATACAATATTGCAATTTAAGTTAAAAAAAGAACATAATTTATAGTCGAAAATATCGTTATAAATAAAAGTTTCTGAAAAAGTGAAAGAAATGATATTGATATCGCGCGTGCGATTTTCTAGAGATAACGATAAGCTCCGCTCACGAGGTTCGAATGTAGTAATCGCTGGATTAATGTGCGCGATCTGTGTGTACGGGATCCCCCACGGTCCGTGCAAATTGAAAACCCACACGGGGCGGACTGGTGGACGGCAAATCGATCGATTACGATCGATTAATTCGGCGCCGGATCCGCGCGTTATTTATTGTGCCGGATTCTCATTCTCATCGCGCCATCCCGCCGATTCTCGTCATCGAGCTCCGTGATCGATCTATCATCGATCAGGAAGCTTTAATCAACACATGTTAAATACACAGTTTATAACAGTATGGAAAATAATGGAAATCAAGTCAGTTTTCAAAGCAATTGTCTGAAGCTTCTGATACGAATAATGGAATCTCTTTGCGATTTAAGTATTATTTATTTTTTGAATTCCATTGCAATTATATTATATAAAATTATATTTAATTATATAATTCATAAAACGTATAATTAAATATATTTAAAAAAATTATGAATATATTAAATTATATTTTTTATATAATTAAATTAATTTAAGCTTCTGACAATCTGGAAAAGAAGAAAAATCTGATCTCGATTATATATAATTTTGAATAAAAAATGCATTCAAGAAATTATGCATTATAATGCATAATTTCTTAGTAAATATGGTTAATATAGTTAAATATAGGTAAATATAGTTAATAATTATTAAAATAAAAATGCATATTATTCATACAGACATTTCATTGATGAAAACATTTATAAGTTTTACTATAAATATAATAAAAAAATTTTGCTGAGATATCAACAGTCTTTTTTAAAAATAAATATAAAATATATAAATCATGTATAAAATATATATGTTTTTCTTTTATCATTCTATTTTGAAAAATAAAATGCTAGCTTAAACATGTATAATAAACTTTCCCAAACTTTCTAAAGGAAGCTTCATAAACTAAAGAAGCTTTAAGAAAATAAGATATAATCGATATATGAATATTAACATAATACATAATATATTATTTTTATTTCGCGATCTCTTTCTTCTATCCCACTGTTATTGTATTATCGGATGATGTTTCGATGCTAATAAATCTGTCACGTGTCAGGACGATCGGGATGATTACATTGAGAGCCCGAAACAGTGGAGATTAACCGTTCGACAACGAAGGTAATGGGTTTGTAATTAACCAGTGGACAGGCAGTAGTCCCAGCTTAATTAATAGTCCGACCAAGGATCAGGCGCGGTATGGGACCACACACCTCGTCGATTTCCTTGGTGTTTACGCGCGCGCAAAGGACTTATCTACCGATATCATCTGCGAGGATTCGATTCACACCGAATCGGAATCCTCTGTCTCGAGCAAGTATCGCTAAGAAATGAAATCACATACACATATATACAAATGAAATCACATGCATAAAGCATCGAAATGCTGAAATTTCAATCAATTAAATTTGAGTGAGTTTGCTCGATTTTTATATAGACGGTTTCGCATTTTATTTGGAAAAGATAGAATATAAAAAAAATATAAAATATAAAAAATATAAAAAAATAACACTTATGTATTTTTATCATTAATACTACATCGCAACATTCAATATATTCATAAACATTGTATTTCGCGAGAATATAATATTAAATCAGTCCTTTCAAAAAATAATAAATTTCTAATTTATCTTATATTTTTTGAATATTAAAATAATTTTTTAAAAGAGATATTTATATATTTATATATTTATACATATTTATATTATATATATTATATATATTTATATATATTTATATATTTATATTATATATTTATATATATTTGCTAAAATTAATTTTCCTTTCTAATTAAACGAGGTATCCACCAATAAGAACGCGGAAAATTAAATTATGCTGGGGGATTATAACGCGGAATATCGCGTGAATCGTTAAGATCTCGAATATATTATCGCGAATCGCAGCTGGTCTGACGATAGGAATGCGAACTCGTTTAAAAGGCAGATGGAGGACTAGAAGGGGCATCGGGAAACATCTTCGGGTAAAAATCCCCCTCGTTCTCTCTCTCTCTCTCTCTTTCTCGATATACCATAATAAATATGGCGACTGCCACCCGTAGCGGTGCATGGCGGTTAATATGTTTCGTTACGGACAAAGACACTTCATTAATAATCGAAAGCACGTCTTTTGTGTCCGCGGGCCTCCGATGCACTCGTCTCATCAGTTCGAAACGAGCGCACGCGTTGCATACGGTGGATTTCCTCATCGCATTAGCAGCCCTTCGTTAATCAACCGTCCGCGGAATTAATTGGATTTCGGTGGTGAACCTTAATAATTGACTCGTTTGCCTCGCGTTGATTGTCATCACGCGCCCTCAAAGCGTACCGTCTTATGCAGATGATAATCGTCATTTCGATAATAATTATCGCAATACGTTTTCCATAAACGCGCGTGTATTTTCTCAAATATTAAAATTTAAAAATATTTTCGATCTTATAAAAATACCATTGCAATATATGCCTTTCCTGATCGTCTCACGCGATCAACATCGCGTATAATCTACAAAAATAAATGCCAAAAACGCAATATTGCGTGCGCGGGTATTATTCATCATCCGCCGTGAATTATTTCCTTTATAGCCATAGTTCGAGATCTACGCTTGAAATATACCCAGGTGCTTCGTTTCGAGACCGTTAGGCGTTTTTTTAATACGCCCACGAACGAACGATGAATTAGAGGATCCGCGTTTTTCAACGATCCACCGCGTTTCCCTTCACCGTGCGACGCTTGCACGGGGCATCGTAATTAGGAAGATATTACTCAAAGACAGCTCCTCTATCCTCGTGGAGGATCGCTTCTCTCTCCTTCTCCCGCGGAGAGGCCTTTTGCTTCGGGGGCGTGCGATTATTCAGACTTGTACGCGAAGGACACACGATTTGAGAAATTATCGGTAAATTACCGCACAGCCATGGCTCTCTGTCACGTGTCCCTGCTGGCGATGATAAAGGGCGAACTAACCCTTGGCCATGGTACCCGGTTCTCGCATTCTTTCGTTCCTTCCACCCATCGACTCGCGATTAAACGGTGTCGTCATTATTGTCGATTTATCGCTCCCTCTTGGAAAAACTATCTCTGAGAAAATTCTGCGGGAGAAAACGAAAAGTACGTCTTAAGTAATACCTGAATCTCTCTCTCTGTGTAATAATATTATTTCATTGCAAAATTTTCGACCTTTATTCAATTTGATTTTGTATTTATATCTGCGTTTAAATCAAAGAAATTAATTAAAATATATTTTTCGTTTTCTTCTAAAGAGCATTTTCAAAAATTCATTTAACAATTTTATTCCTATCGATTTTTTATTCAAACCTGCGCGAATCTAATAATTATTCATGAAACAAATTAATTCTTTTCATTTCATTTGATTTTGTGTCAGCTTTTAAATAAAAGAAAATAATTAAGATATATTTTTCGTTTTCTTCCGAAGAGCATTTTCAAAGATAGGTTTATTTAACGATTTTCTTCTTATCGGTTTTTGATTCAAACCCGAGCGAACCTAATAATTATTCATAAAACAAATTAATTCTTTTTATTTCATTTGATTTTGTGTCAGCTTTTAAATAAAAGAAAATAATTAAGATATATTTTTCGTTTTCTTCCGAAGAGCATTTTCAAAGATAGGTTTATTTAACGATTTTCTTATCAGTTTTTGATTCAAACCGAGCGAACCTAATAATTATTCATAAAACAAATTTATTCTTCGGTAATAATACAGACGGATGATTTTCTGCGCGAGAGCATATTCGAAAATGAATGATTCAATTAATGGTTGACGCGCCATCGCGCATTTTTTTTAAAGCACCATGAGCAATTTACCGGACTCAAACGTGGTTTTCGCCGCATTCTTCGTACACCACGCATTAATATCGCCGGTGATTAGCCGGGACTTCGGGCCCACCTCATCTCATTTATCCCCCATTTTTTCCTCCCGGCTGTTTGATACCACAAGTCATTAAACCTTGTAAATCGGTCCCTCTTCTCGCCCCTCTCCCCTGTCCCCTCCCTTTCTCCCGCTCAGCTTCATCGCACCCCGTCTCATTCGTCTCTTTCTACCGACGATTGCCCTGGGCACCTGAGGATTCTAAAGACCGATAAAGCGGCAGAACTCTTTGCTTCGGAGATGACCGGTAAGAAATTCCCAAGGATTAGTTTATTAATGGCCGCTGGTATTATCAGCCGCCGTAATTATCAGCTGTTCGGCGTCAAACTGAATCGTTTCGTTCAAGTAGCCACGATGTGTTTTCGCGATCTGTTGCAGCCTTTTTTCAGGCTGGGAAATCTTCCCTTATCGTCGATCTCTCGCAATTTTTTGTCGGAATAATAATTTAAGAAATTTTTCTCTCTTTTTCTTTCTCTTTGAATCTTTATGATTCTCGAAGCAAGACTGTAAGAAATCCCCCAACATCCTTCGTGCACTGTTCTATCTTAATTCAAGATGTTTTAAGATAACATATTAGCTCGAAAGTAGTACGATAACTTAGAAAAAGAAAAATTTCGTTTCTCTTTCTCAATTGCTTTTTAATTATTTTTGAAGGAGTTCTTGATTAGTTCTTAATTTTAAAAGAACAGAAGATTCGTAAATCAACAATTAAATAGATTTTATAATAATTACAATCGTTCTTATCTCTGACATTATCTGTGGACTCTATGAATGGTTTAATTAATTGATTAGTGCACGTAAGCAAAATACTTTTTTAGGATAACTTAGATTTGTAGCAAATTGAACTCTGATGTATAAATAGCGAATTGAATCCATGTAAAATCCATGTTATGTAATAACATAAATAGTCACAATGTATGAAAAGATTATTTCTTTATTTTGATTTCTCTGACAATTATTTTTTATTTTCTGATTTACGAGATTTGTCTATGTAAATATATAAAAAAATAAATATAGATTACAAATTATTTAATTTTCATATTTTTGTAATAAATCGATAACTTGAAATATTGACTTAAAAATATCAATAATTAATACAATTGTAAAAAATGCTCATTTTTTTAATAAAAAAATGCTAAATAATTAATTTGAATAAACATGCATATATTCTATATGCATATCTTATGTAAGCGCATAAACGATTTTAAAAAGGTTAAACGGAGATAAAATATGGCATAGTAATAATAGATGACGTAGTAAGTAATAGATAGCCAATATATATAAGAATCGGCAGCGAAAAAAAATAGCAAATGTCTCTATAGTGCTCAGGATAATTTTTTTCAATATATATACTCTAAAGAAATAATGAATATAGATCACATACATAAACTTTTTTTCGAATGATTGCAGTTATACACATGATAAATTTAATATAATGAAATAAGCAGCGATTGCTCGTTTTGTTGATTGTATAAAAATTTAAAATCTACAATTTTATATGTATTTAAAAAAAAAGTTTGCGATTCGCGATTTATATCCTAAAGATTGGTCGCATCAAGTCAGTTTTTTATAACTGAACTACCTGCATTAGGAAGCCCTCTAATAAGAGATTGGCTATCAGGGGACCACTTTTGATTGATCCATCATTTTGCGGCAACTCCCACTCACGTGGGAGTGAAATCTAGAGTAATCTCTTGTCTCTTCTCTCACTCGCAAGATTTTGACACATGCACGAAACATACTCTTAACATAAGCTCACTCTATCTGATGGTAAGTCTATTATAAGAGGATCCCAAAGCTGAACTAGCAAAGAGATATCTTTATCAGGTGGGAGAAATACACCTATAATATAGTGGCACCACTGGATACTACATATTACACGGTTGGCAATACTGATACGTCTTCTCTCTCGATAGATACGCGAAGACAAGTTATCACGTACTGCCAGAGAGTGTTTCCTTATATCAGTGAAAATCGTATATAACTATTAGTCGATAACTTTTCCATCGATTAATTAAAAAAGTGAACAGTGATATCAGACGTCTCATGTCTTCAATATTAAGCCTTGTGTTTTTCCATGTCGTCACTTTCTCCTAGTTCATCGGAATTGATATGTTAAAAAGTGATTTAATTGAATGCTTAGCAGTGAATACGTTCTAGCCAAGGTTACGCGTTATAAATACGTAGCGAATAGACACACAGTATGTATATGTGTATAATATATATCAGTATTGTTATGCTACGCATGCGTGAAATAGAAATCTGTCTATTAAATTACACTGAACGTTTCAGTCAATCGCATAAGCAAGTCATCGTCATGATAGATAAAGTTCCTCGTTAAATGGCCTCAAGATGGCTAAGATTCAAAATTGCGACAGTTCTATACTGAAATTGACAACCGAGCAGAAGGAATACGCAGCAAAAGTTCTAAATGAACACGACGAAAATAGAGAAACCGCCATCGTGGAGATTAAACGTTGGATTCAAGAGAACGATTTACGCGCACGAACTGGTAAAAATAATAATATTATGTTAGAATAATGTTCTTGAATAACGTTTAATTATGATTCAGTTCGAAAGCATTTAAAATATTATTAAATATTAAATTTTTATTGAATTCGTTTCTTTTACTGAGTGAAAGAAAATATATTTTAATACAATATTATTAAATATTAAATTTTTACTAATTCTTTCTTTTATGGGGGGGATAATATATTTTTACTGAGGAAAATACAACAAACTTTTATATGTTTTTATTGCAAAATTATAATTTGAAAATTTCGATTAAAATATAGAATATTAAAATTGTTACACCAGAAAGAATATAAAATTACAAAATTATATTACAACAGAATTATATTAAAAAATTATATTACAATAGAATTTAGCATATCAAATTTTTTCTTCTATCATTCTCATTGAGATAACATTGATTAATATAAATTTATTGAATATTTTACATTGTACTTGATATTGATGTTTTATAACATAATTGATAATTAGAGATTTATTATCCATTTAATTTGTTTCATATTATATTATAACGATTTGCTTATTACGTTTTATTTTACATTATGATATATATAAATAGAATCTCGTATCAATTATGGTATACAAAAACACTCAAGTATTACGTAAAGTGTGATATATCAGGAAGTTATCTATTAATCATCAATTACATACATATTTAAAAATAGATATTTGATACTATTATGATCGTAATATTACAGGCAGATAAAAATTAAATTATTAAATGTTTAAATAATAATTTTTATTCATTCTCTTTCTGTATCTTATAAATATAATGTAATAAAAGAAAGAGAGAAATTAAGTAATATATTTTTTAAAGAAAATTATTTGAAAAATTTTTCATATTAAAAATTTTACTGCTTCAGATACAAATATAAATGTCTATAAATGTCTATAAATTATTCTATATAGTTTATAATGCTTGTATAATTTATTGTTTCGACTATCTTTGGGATTGTCTTTGAAAGAAAATATTAATTGATATGCAGATGATTTGTTTATTTTACGATTTTTGAGAGCTTGCAAATTTAATCTCGAGAAAACAAAGACCAAGATACGAAATTATCAAATGCAGCGAGCTAAGATGCCAGAATGGTACGGTAACAGAGATCCGCTTCAACCAAAATTGCAAGAATTACTAGATTTGGGGTAACAGAAATGATTCCTAAGTATAATTTTAAGACGAATGTATAAAGCTGTATCGTCAAGTATATTTCCACAAAGTTATCTTTTTATAAATTTGTTCAAAACAAAACTCAGTGGATAATTGATTATGAAATTTTACAGTTTTTTGCATTGTCATAATTATCAATTTTTTGTCATAATGATTTATTTGCAAATCACAAAGTTACAACAATATTTATCACTTATGGTAATGTCATTTAATGATTTGTATTATATTATTAAATCATAATCAATTTAAATATAATAATTACAGACTAAATCTTTCATAATTGATAAATTATTAACCCGCGCGTTTAGAGTTTGTATAAAAAATTTTCTCGAAATTTTTCACCAATTTGAATTACAACTTAATGAACAATTTGATATAAAGTTTTTCATTAAATATCTTTTTTATTTGTATCATATTATAATTTTAATAAAAATTACTTTTACATATTTATTTTAATATTAGATATATATTTATTTTGAAACTTTAGTTTGATGATATAATAAGTCACTTTTTAAATTAAGTTCTGACGGCTTGTAGAGCATTCTATGTCGCTATAAAACAAAATGTAAATATTTTTGAAGGATTTTAAAGTATCTTATTCGTCTTAGAATTTGTTTACCTTTACGAAAGTTGGACAATGAAGGAAGAATGATTATCCTCGCGCGTGTTACGTATAATCCAGACATATTTGCATTAGCGGATGTATTTAAGGTATTATTAATATATACTAACATAACACTCGAATGGTAAATGTCATAAAAATTATATTAATTTAAAGTACTTTAAAGTTGTTTATGTTTTTCAACGGATGATTTTTTAGGTCTCATCCATGTCTATAGACTTAGCCTTAAGAGACAGCGTTGAAGCGTCCTTGTACGGTTTAGTAATAATTATAGATTCGCAATATGCAACTTTACGTCATATTGCTCAAGTGCGGCCTGGTTTTTTAATGAATATAGTTCACATGTGGCAGGGTTGCTACCCCATAAGAATTCAATTGCTTAATTATGTTAACACACCGGAATTTACTAAATTTATTATGATGTTGACTAGATATTTCTTGAGCGATAAACTGAAACAAAGATTACACGTCTACACGCACAAAACGACGCATGAATGTTTTACAAATATACCGGCTAATATCTTACCTGTTGAATATGGCGGCACTGATGGTACAATTCAGGAATTAACAGGTAATTCATATGCAGAAGATTTTATTTAACAATTGCAAACAAAGAAAAAGTGACAATGAAATATCATTTTCTTATGTATAGTCAAAATACATATTTCAAAACTTTACTAAAGCAACGGATAATAATATGAGTATTTTATATGTATTTACGTGACATATATTGTGTAATATGACCTCTTACATTTACAGAATATTGGAAGAAAACGGTCGAAGAAAATCGTGACTGGTTTATCGACGATGAAAATTATAAACCAGTTTTATGAAAAGAATAAAAATTTTGTGAATTAATGTAATTTCTCTGTGCACAATTATTTTCTATGGTAAACTTATGGTTCATTTAGTTTGATCTTGATTTGTAATTCGTATAAATACAAATAGATTTGGCTCGGATTTTTTCATAAAATTTTCATCTTTTCTATTAAAAAGGTAACTAATGTATTAACTCGGAAACTAATACAGTAATTTAGAGAAGTCAGATTCTCTCCTTTCTCTTGATCACTCTTGATTCGATGAATAAGAGATTCATATACTGCGTAGAATTATTAGTCGACGAATACAGTACATTTTCATTATAACTATTTTCATCTTACCTTCGAAATCATTCGTTTGTTCTGCTAACAGTTTAATAATTAATTAGATCTTGAGGACGAAATTCTTGGATTAACTTAGATTTGCATTGAGTTAAATTTATTTATAAACTATTAAATTTATATACAAATAATTGAATTAAAATCAAGGTCATATTAATTTATATAAGCGATATATAAAAAAATTATTTCATGAATTTCATAATTTTATAATTTTATATTAATTAATTTTTTATATTTTTGTTATAATTTTTTTAATTTATATTTTTGATTAACGAGATTTTCATATGTAAAATTAAGATAATTAAATTATTTAATTTTCGTGATTTTATAATATCAATATAATGTAATCAATATATTCGTAAGAGATAGATAATGATTCACTTACATTTATAATATAATTATTAATATTATTAGTACTTATTCCGAAAATAAATTTGCTAATTGTAAAAATTAACACTAGTATTTTTATTGAGATTAATCACATTTGGCACTAGATCATATACAACGATAAGCTTATCGCTTGTAGTGATAACTTACAGATCTATAATATGCTTATAATTACTTATGTTACTAATACTAATTACTTATACTGTAGAGATTTTGGAGTAATTTTATTATTTACAGTTTATATATATTTTAAATAGGCAAGTAAGGATAATAAATGTTTTTTATTTATTTTAAGAAGGTAGATAATTTCCTGAATATTTAATACAAACTGTATAATGACTTTTTGAAGTCTGTAGATATCTCAAAGAATGTTTAAAACGTATAAAAATATTATTAAAATATTTTGTGGAATATTAGTTAGGTATATAGTTTTTACAGATAATAAAATATATCTCGAAAATAAGACTTTCGGAAATTTTGTTAAAGGAAAACAATATGTATTTTTAACAGAGAACATATATCGTAAAAATATATATCAATTTATCAATTTCAATTTATCAGTATCAATTTATATTTTATATTCTATTCTATATTTATGTTTTGCGTAAGTGCATGCTATATAATTAAACGAATAATTTCAAACAGAAAATGAAAATAAATAAATGTCAGGAGCGCTTTTTATGTGCTTTTGTTGCTTAAGTTAATTATGATCCTTTTTATATTTATGTTCGAGAAAATTAATAAATAGATAGAAATCGCACAAATAGAATTATTTTTTAAATTACAATCGCTCATGATAAATATGTCGATAATCTATCATTGATCTGATGGAAGATTAAAATGATAAAAAGCGCTGAATATAAACGAATATAGAAGTCATTTTTCTACTTTCTTTAGTCGAACGCACGAAACAAAAAGATCGCAACATACGTCGCTATATTATATATTACACATCACATATTACAGCCAAAGTTTTAAATTTAAATGAATTAGAAATGGATTAGAGAATAGAGGAAACTGTATTGCAGAAATTAAAATTAACGCTGGATTCAAGAGAGTGATTTATCCGCACAAACTGATAAAAATGATTATAATATGTTAGCAAAATTTAAAAATCTCGAAATTTTCAATCAATTGATATGAATCAATCAAATCAATTTGATATGAATTATCAATTTGATACGAATTACAATTTGATATACAATTTGGTATGAGATTAATTTTCCATTAAATATCTATTTCATTATATTATAGTATTGTAATTTTATTAATAATTACTTTTAGATATATATTTATATGTATAAAATTTGTTTTGATGATACAAAAGATTTCACTTTTCAAGTTTAATTTTAGCTAATAAAGCAGTCTATATATATTCGCCATAAAACTAAATATAAACTGAGAGAAAAAATTTTGAAGGATTTTGAAACATTCTGTTTGTCTTAGAATTTGTTTATCTTCATGAAAATTGGACAATGACGAAAGAATGGTCCTCCTCGGACTCTCTGTGAATAATACAAACATATTTATATTAGCAGATGTACTTAAGCTTTTAATATACATAATATATATATATATATATATATATATATATATATATAATAATGTACTGAGATACTAATAATATAATAAATAATGTGATCAATAATTATGCACACTTGATTCGAAAATTAACCAATGAGAAGAAATGCCGAAATATATTTAAACATTATAAAAATTAAGATAACTAAGTATATAATTTTAGAAATGAATTGCATTTAGACATTAAATTATACATACGTAAAGATAAGCTCTTATCATGTATTGATAACCTCGATTCATAATATTATTTATATGCTGTAGAGATACTGAAATAATTTATTTATACATACATATATATATATTTGTGCTTTTAAATATTATATATATTTTAAATAAGCGAGTGCAATTGAGGATGATTGTAACATCGAATTGTTTTCTTATTTATTTTAGACTATAGATGATTTTCTGAACAATTAAACCGAATTATATAATGATTTTTTTATGTTTGTAGATGCCTCAAAGAATGTTTATGATATAAAAATATCATTAAAATATATTTCTTCGAGTGCATACAATTCGTAAAGATACATACAGTTGACATCTTAAATATGTAGGATACATAAGGTTGTAAAGATACATAATTTGTTAAGAACGTAAAGTATATCGAAAACAAGATACTTTAAGAGATTTTGTCAAAGAAAAGAATGCGTATTTTAACAAAGAATGCATATCGTAAAAATAATATCGATTTATATCTTACATATTCTGTTCTCCGTTATATCTGGCAAAAGTGCATAATTTACAATGATATTTAATTAAACACTTTTGATTGGTCCAATTGGTCATTTTCGTTGAGAAAAAATCGTTTTTAAATTGGCCTTGGAAATCTGCCTTTAAAATATATCTAGCGGTAGTTTTGGGACACCCTGTATATTACACGTACATGTGCAACACATACATTCGTATACATTCACGTGGAAGTGGAATCTAAAGTCTCTTGTCTCTTCTCTCACTCGCAAGATTTTGACACATGCACGAAATATACTCTTAACATATGCTCACTCTATCTGATGATAAGTCTCTTATAAGAGGATCTCTAAGCTGAACTAGGTCAGAGATATCTTTTTGAGATGGAAACAGATCTATACTATAGTGGCACCACTGTATACTACATATTACACATGTGTTGGCAAAACGTCCTCTCTCTCGATAGATACACGAAGACATGTTATCGCGTACAGCCAGAGTTTTCCCTTATATCAGTGAAAATCTTATATAACTATTAACGATAATTTTTTCAAGGCATCAATTGAATGAAAAATGTGAACAGCGATATCAGACGTCTCGTATCTTCAATTAAGCCTTGTCTTTTTCCATTTCGTCACTTTCTCCTCGCTTATCGGAATTAATATGTTTAAAAGTAATTTAATTGAATGCTTAACAGTGAATACATACATTCTAGCCAAGGTTACGCGTTATATGTGCGTAGCGAATAGATACACAGTATATATATATATATGTATAATGTACATAGTATTGTCATGTTGCGCATGCGTGAAGTAGTGATTCATCAGTTAAATTACACTGAACGTTTCAGTCAATCGCAGTAGCAAGTATCGTCTTGATAGATAAAGTTCCTCGTTAAATGTCAAGATGGCTAAGATTCAAAGTTGCGACAGTTCTACACTGAAATTGACAACCGAGCAAAAGGAATACGCAGCAAAAGTTCTAAATGAACATGACAAAAATAGAGAAACCGCCATCGTAGAGATTAAACGTTGGATTCAAGAGAATGACTTACGCGCACGAACTGGTAAAAATATTAATATTATGTTAGAGCTCTTGAAAAACGTTCAATTATGATGATGATTAGTTCGAAAGTATTCCAATAAAATTACCATTAATTTTCATTAATGCATTAACATGAATTATAAAATATTATTAAATATTAAATTTTTATTGAATTCATTTCTTTCACTGAGTGAAAGAAAATATATTTTAATAAAATATAAAATTTAATAAAATATTTTATTAAATATTAAATTTTTATTAAAATTTTTCTTTTATAGAGGGGAAAAATATATTTTTACTGAGGAAAATACGATAAACTTTAATATGCTTTTATTACAAAAAAATAATTTGAAAATTTCGGTTAAAATATAGAATATTAAAATTGTTACATCAGAAAGAATATAAAATTACAAAATTATATTACAATAGAATTTAGCATATCAAATTTTTTCTTCATTTTCATTGAGATAACATTAATTAATATAAACGTTAATATTTAATTTTACAACGTACTTGATGTTGATGTTTTATAACATATTTGATAATAAGAGATTCATTCCGTTTAATTTGTTTTATCTTATATTATAATGATTTGCTTATTACGTATTATTTTAAATCATAATAAATAAGAACCTCGTCCCAAGTATGGTGCAAAACATACAAAAATACTATCAAGTATTACGTAAAATGTAAAATATCAGGAAGTTATTTGTTAATCATCAAGTACGTATATATTTAGAAACAGATATTTGATGCCATAATATTACAAGTAGATAAAAATTAAATCATTACGTGTTTAAATAATAATTTTTATTCATTCTTTTTCTGTTTCTTAAATATAATAAATAAAAAAATTTAGTAATATATTTTTTATTAAAGAAAATAATTTGAAAAATTTTTCATTTTCAAAATTTTACCGCTTTAAACACACATGCCTATAAATGCCTATAAATTATTCTATATAATTTATAATGCTTATATAATTTATTGTTTCGACTATCTTTGGGATTGTCTTTGAAAGAAAATATTAATTTATATACAGATGATTTGTTTATTTTGCGTTTTTTGAGAGCTTGCAAATTTAATCTCGAGAAGACAAAGGTCAAGATGCGAAATTATCAAATGCAGCGAGCTAAGATACCGGAATGGTATGGGAACAGAGATCCGCTTCAACCAAAATTGCAAGAATTATTAGATTTGGGGTAACAAAAATAATCCTTAAGTATAATTATAAAAAGGCGAAAATTCATAAAGTTTTATTGTAAAGTATATTTCCATAAGAAAATCCTTTTATAAGTTTGTTCAAGACAAATTTACACGAAAATATTTGCATCTTGATTAATCTATAAAAATTTAACTATCTTTCACTTTTATTGTAAAAATAATATTTCAAAAATATTTCAGATTAACTCAGTGGATGATTGATGAAACTTTACAGTATTTGCATTGTCATAATTATCAATTTCTTTCATAACGATTTACTTGCAAACCACAACGTATATTTATCATTTATGTAAATAATATTTAATAATTTATATTATATTATTAAATTATAAACAATTTAAATATAATAATTACAGATTAAATCTTTCATAATTGATCTTTCATAATGAAATTATTAAACCGCGTGTTTAGAGTTTATATAAAAAATTTTCTCGAAATTTTTCACCAATTTGAATTACAATTTAATAAACAATTTGATAAAAAGTTTTTCATTAAATATCTTTTTTATTTGTATCGTGTTATAATTTTAATAAAAATTACTTGTAGATATTTATTTTAATATTAGATATATATTTATTTTGAAACTTTAGTTTGATGATACAATAAATCACTTCTCAAATTTAATCCTAATGGCTCGTAGAGCATTCTATGTCTCTATAAAACAAAATGTAAATATTTTCGAAGGATTTTAAAATATCTTATTTGTCTTAGAATTTGTTTACCTTTACGAAAATTGGACAATAAAGGAAGAATGATTATCCTCATTCGCCCTATGCATAATCCAAACATATTTACAATAGCGGATGCACTTAAGGTATTATTGATATATACTAATATAACACTCGACTGATTAATGTCATAAAAACTATATTAATTTAAAGTACTTTAAAGTTGTTTATGTTTTTCAACGGATGATTTTTTAGGCCTCATCCGTGTCTATAGACTTGGCCTTAAGGGACAGCGTTGAAGCATCCTTGTACGGTTTAGTAATAATTATAGATTTGCAATATGCAACTTTACGTCATCTTGCTCAAATTCGGCCTGGTATTTTAATGAATATGGTCCACGCGTGGCAGGGTTGCTACCCCATAAGAATTCAATTGCTTAATTATGTTAACACACCGAAATCTGCTGAATTTATTATGATGTTGACTAGATATTTCTTGAGCGATAAACTGAAACAAAGATTACACATCTACACGCACAAAACGACGCATGAGTGTTTTACAAATATATCGGCTAATATCTTACCTGTTGAATATGGCGGCACTGATGGTACAATTCAGGAATTAACAGGTAATTCATATGCAGAAGATTTTATTTAACAACAATTGCAAACAAAGAAAAAGTGACAATGAAATATCATTTTCTTATGTATAGTCAAAATATTTCAAAACTTTACTAAAGCAACGGATAATAATATGAGTATTTTATATGTATTTATGTGACATATATTGTGTAATATGACTTCTTACATTTACAGAATTTTGGAAGAAAATGATCGAAGAAAATCGTGACTGGTTTATCGACGATGAAAATTATAAACCAGTTTTATGAAAAGAATAAAAATTTTGTGAATTAATGTAACTTCTTTGTGCATAATTATTTTTTATGATAAACTTATGATTCACTTATTTTGATCTTGATTTGTAATGAATCTTTCAAAGACAGATTCCTAGGATCATTTGGAGACGATTTTTCCTTAGCGAAAATGTCGATGAAGGCCATTATTTTTTGCATGTTCCCGATTTTTGTCATCATATATCTTTGCAATTAAGCCTTAAATTAAAACTCAACTAAAGTAAACTCTATTTAAAATTAATCGAAGAATGTGGTTTTGTTAATATTTTATTTCTACAAAGCTTAATTTACGAAAAACCCTTTATTTCCAATCACTTATAATTCGAAAATTATTAGTGTCTCGACATTTTCGTTGAGAAAAAATCGTTTTTAAATTGGCCATGGAATCTGCCTTTAAAATATTTAGCGGTAATTTCGGGACATCCTGTATATTACACGTTACATGTGCAACACATACATTCGTATACATTCACATGGTAATGAAATCTAGAGTCTCTTGTCTCTTCTCCCACTCGCAAGATTTTGAAACATGCACGAAACATACTCTTAAATATGCTCATAAAAAAAAAAAAAAAAAAAAAAAAAAAAACTATATGAATCATACTCTATAGACATCACTCTTATACAGCTCTATAGAGATAGCTAATAGTAGAAACACATCTAAGTATATGCACCATTGATATACATATTACACGGTTGGCAATACTGATACTGTCTTCTCTCTCCATAGATACACGAAGACAAGTTATTGCGTACTGCCAGAGAGTGTTTCCTTATATCAGTGAAAATCGTATATAACTATTAGTCGATAACTTTTTCAAGCCAATTAATTAAAAAAGTGAACAGTGATATCAGACGTCTCGTATCTTCAATTAAGCCTTGTCTTTTTTTATTTCGTTACTTTCGCCTCGCTCATCGGAATTCATACGTTTAAAAGTCATTTAGTTGAATGCAGTGAACGTTCTAACCAAGGTTACGCGTTATATATGCGTAGGGAATACATATATACAGTATCTATATATGTGTAATATACCTCAATATCGTCATGCTACGCATGCGTGAAGTAGAGATTCGTCAGTTAAATTACACTGAACGTTTCAGTCAATCGCAGTAGGAAGTTTCGTCTTGATAGATAAAGTTCCTTGTTAAATGTTAAGATGGCTAAGGTTCAAAGTTGCGACAATCCTACACTGAAATTGACAACCGAGCAGAAGGAATTCGCAGCAAAAGTTCTAAATGAACACGACGAAAATAGAGAATCCGCCATCGTGGAGATTAAACGTTGGATTCAAGAGAACGATTTACGCGCACGAACTGGTAAAAATAATAATATTATGTTAGAATAATGTTCTTGAATAACGTTTAATTATGATTCAGTTCGAAAGCATTTCAATAAAATTACCATCGACTATCATTAACGCATTAACATGAATTATAAAATATTATTAAATTTAAAATTTTTATTGAATTCGTTTCTTTTACTGAGTGAAAGAAAATATATTTTAATAAAATATTATTAAATATTAAATTTTTATTAAATTCTTTCTTTCATGTGGGGGAAAATATATTTTTACTGAAGAAAATACAACAAACTTTTATGTTTTTATTAGAAAAAAATAATTTGAAAATTTCGATTAAAATATAGAAAATATAGAATAAAGAACAAATATTATAATAATAAATAAAATTAAAATGTAGAATATTAAAATTGTTACACCAGAAAGAATATAAAATTACAAAATTATATTACAATAGAATTATATTACAAAATTATATTACAATTGAATTTAGCATATCATATTTTTTTTCAATCATTCTCATTGTGATAACATTGATCAACATAAATTTATTTAATATTTTACATTGTACTTGATATTGATGTTTTATAACATGTTTGATAATTAGAGAATCATTTTTTTCCGTTTAATTTGTTTTATCTTATATTATTATCTTAATCAGAAAGTTAACTATTTATCATCAACTACGTATATATTTAAAAACAGATAGTTGATATTATTAAGATAGTAATATTACAGGCAAATAAGAATTAAATTATTAAATGTTTAAATAATAATTTTTATTCATTCTCTTTCTGTTTCTTATAAATATAATGTAATAAAAGAAAGAGAGAAATTAATACTAAACAGAAATTAATTCTACAAACAGTTTATAATGCCTATATAATTTATTGTTTCGACTATTTTTGGGATTGTCTTTGAAAGAAAATATTAATTTATATGCAGATGATTTGTTTATTTTACGATTTTTGAGAGCTTGCAAATTTAATCTCGAGAAGACAAAGACCAAGATGCGAAATTATCAAATGCAGCGAGCTAAGATACCGGAATGGTACGGCAACAGAGATCCGCTTCAACCAAAATTGCAAGAATTACTAGATTTGGGGTAACAAAAATGATTCTTAAGTATAATTTTAAGAAGACGAATGTATAAAGTTTTATTGTCAAGTATATTTCCAAAAGGTTATCTTTTTATTCAAGGTTATCTTTTTGTTCCAGACAAATTTACAGGAAAATATTTACATCTTGATTATCTATAAAATATAATCTATAAAAATTTAACTTTTAAAATTTAAATTTAAAATTTAAAATTTAAAATTTAAAATTTAAATTTATCTTTTACTGTTATTGTAAAAATAATATTTCAATAATATTTCTGATCAACTCAGTGGATGATTGATTATGAAACTTGATAGTTTTTGCATTGCCATATCTATTGATAGTTTTTGCATTGTCATATATATAATTATCAATTTCTTTCATAACGATTTACTTGCAAATCACAACGTATATTTATCATTTATATAAATAATATTTAATAATATTTAATATTATATTATTAAATAATAATCAATTTAAATGTAATCATTATAGATTAAATCTTTCATAATTGATCTTTCATAATGAAATTATTAAATCGCGTGTTTAGAGTTTATATAAAAAATTTTCTCGAAATTTTTCACCAGTTTGAATTACAACTTAATAAACAATTTGATATAAAGTTTTTCATTAAATATCTTTTTTATTTGTATCGTATTCTAATTTTAATAAAAATTACTTGTAGATATTTATTTTAATATTATATATATATTTATTTTGAAACATTATTTGATGATACCATAAGTCACTTTTCAAATTTAGTCCTAACGACTCGTAGAACGTTCTATGTATCGTCGCTATAAAACTAAATATAAATATTTTTGAAGGATTTTAAAGTGTTTTATTTGTCTTAGAATTTGTTTACCTTTACGAAAATTGGACAATGAAGGAAGAATCATTATTCTCGCTCGCCTTGTGCATAATCCAGACATATTTACATTAGCGGATGCACTTAAGGTATTATTAATATATACTAACATAACACTCGAATGATTAATGTCATAAAAATTATATTAATTTTAAGTACTTTTAAGTTGTTTATGTTTTTCAACGGATGATTTTTTAGGCCTCATCCATGTCTCTAGACTTGGCCTTAAGAGACAGCGTTGAAGCATCCTTGTACGGTTTAGTAATAATTATAGATTTGCAATATGCAACTTTACGTCATGTTGCTCAAGTGCGGCCTGGTATTTTAATGAATATGATCCACGCGTGGCAGGGTTGCTACCCCATAAGAATTAAATTGCTTAATTATATTAACATACCGGAATATGCAAAATTTATTATGATGTTGACTAGATTTTTCTTGAGCGATAAACTGAAACAAAGATTACACATTTATACGCATAAAACGACGCATGAATGTTTTACAAATATACCGGCTAATATCTTACCTGTTGAATATGGCGGCACTGATGGTACAATTCAGGAATTAACAGGTAATTCATATGCAGAAGATTTTATTTAACAACAATTGCAAACAAAGAAAAAGTGTCAATGAAATACTATTATCTTATGTATAGTCAAAATATTTCAAAACTTTACTAAAAGCTGATAACAATATGAGTATTTTATATGTATCTACGTTACTTATATTGTGTAATATGACCTCTTACATTTACAGAATATTGGAAGAAAACGCTTGAAGAGAATCGCGACTGGTTTATCGACGATGAAAAGTATAAACCAGTTTTATGAAAAGAATAAAAATTTTGTGAATTAATGTAATTTCTTTGTGCACAATTATTTTTTATGGTAAACTTATGATTCACTTATTTTGACCTTGATTTGTAATTCGTATAAATACAAATAGATTTTGCTCGGATTTTTTCAGACCTTTCCTATTAAAAAGGCAACTAATGTATTAACTCGGAAACTAATACAGTAATTTAGAAGTCAGATTCTCTTTTTTCTCTTGATCGCTCTTAATTCGATGAATAAAGGCGTCTTTAGATGGAAGCGTTTAGCGTCAAGCGTCGAGCGTCAAAAACACGTGCGCAGCACCCTTGCGCATAATTCTGAACAGGCAGATTCCAGCATCTTGACGCTAAAACCGCTAAAACAATGTCTAGTAACAAAATTTTAATAAATACGGTAGAGGTAAGTAGATTGTATATTCTTAATAGAAAATGTATTAATATATATAATATATAATAAATATAATAGATATAATAGATATAATAGATATCATTATACAATATATATTATAGAATTGCGCGATTAGTAGCGTATTACAACATAACCAAACAGAAGGAATAATTGGCATAAATATATGTTTTCTAAATACAACATGAATATTATTTATTACAATGTATTCTTTGTATAGGATATAACGTGTGGAGTGTGCACGTAACTTTTTTTTGTTTCTTATATTCATGATTAATAATGCTGCTGCATTCTAATAACCATTGATGATAACGATAATTAACTGACATTTTATTGATAATATTTGATAATAATGATAATATTGATAATATTGATAATAATGATAATATTTGATAATATTCCGCAATTTAGATGATTTACTGACTGCTCCAGCGTTTCAACAAATCACTAGGCACACTGCGCATGTCACACTTTTTGACGCTTTAACGCTCGACGCTAAAACGCTCCCATGTAAAGGCACCTTAAGAAGATTCATATACTCCGTAGAATTTTTAGTCGAGGGCTACAGTACATTTTGATTATAACTATTTTCATCTTACGTTCGAAATCATTCGTTTGTTCTGCTAACAGTTTAATAATTAATAAGATCTTGAGGACGAAATTCTTGGATTAACTTAGATTTGCATTGAGTTAAATTTATTTATAAACTATTAAATTTATATACAAGTAGTTGAATTAAAATCAAGATCATATTAATTTATATAAGCGATATATAAAAAAATTATTTCATGATAATTTTATATTAATTAATTTTTTATATTTTTGTTATAATTTTTTAATTATATTTTTGATTAGAGATTTTCATATGTAAAATTAATATAATTATAAATTATTTAATTTTCGTGATTTTATAATATCAATATAATGTAATCATTATATTCGTAAGAGATAGATAATGATTCACTTACATTTATAATATAATTATTAATATTATTAGTACTTATTCCGAAAATAAATTTGCTAATTGTAAAAATTAACACTAGTATTTTTATTGAGATTAATCACATTTGGCATTAGATCATATACAACGATAAGCTTATCGCTTGTAGTGATAACTTACAGATCTATAATATGCTTATAATTACTTATGCTACTAATTACTTATACTACAGAGATATTGGAGTAATTTTCTTATTTACGGTATATATATATATATATATATATATATATATATATTTTTTTTTTTTTTTTTTTAATAAGCAAGTAAGGATAATAAATGTTTTTTATTTATTTTAAGAATATAGATAATTTCCTGAATATTTAACACAAACTGTATAATAATTTTTTGATGTCTGTAGATATCTCAAAGAATGTTTAAAAAATATTAAAATATTAAAATATTTTGTAAAGCATAATGTTTTAAAGATAACAAAATATATCTCGAAAATAAAACTTTCGGAAATTTTGTTAAAAGAAAAGAATGCGTATTTTTAACAAAGAATATATATCTTGAAAATTGTATCGATTTATATCTTACATACTCTGTTCATCGTTATATTTTGCAAAAGTGCTTAATTTACAATGGTATTTAATTAAATAAATAATTTCAAACAAAGCAATGAAAATGGATGTTAAGGACGCTTCTGATATTGCTCAAGTTATTATAATCCTTTTAATATATATGAAAACAAATACATAGATAGAAATCACACAAACTTTTTTTAAATTAGTCGTACATGATAAATGTATCATTAAGATAGCATATCATTTTATATAATTAATGATATTTTTTATTATTAATCAAATGTAATTACAAATAAATATAGAAGGTGTATTTGACATGTTTTGACATCTTTTTGACATGAAAATGACATGAATGCACGTAATAATCAGATTGCAATATACATATATATATCGCTATCGATACGCTGTACGCATGTGCAAAATATTAAGATTCATCAGACAGATATCCAAGTTTCTTTTGATTAATCGCGATTATGCGAGTGTCCTCTCAGTACGTAAAGTTCTGTCATTACGAACGTTACAATGGCAGAGTCTCAGAGTTACGACAGTGTTACACATAATTTAACAATCGAGCAAAAGGAATATGCAGCGAAAGTTTTAAATGAATCGGACGAAAATAGAGGAAAATCTATCGCAGAAATTAAACACTGGATTCAAGAGAGCGATTTATCCGCACGAATTGGTAAAAATGATATTATTATGTTAGAAAAATTAAAAAATTTTTGTATGACATTCATTATTGAATGTTTTTTTGTTGACGATTTATTAATTAATTTCGTAGCACGAAAATAAAATTATCTTGAATTAATAATAATTTTAACATATTAGAATGAATTAATATGAAATAATATGAAATTATGTTTAAGAGTATTAGGACCGATTCACAATCCGATCTCAGACAATTAAGATAGTTTTTTTTTAATTTTCTATTGATGATGGACCGAAAATTTTTCACATTATCGGTGCGAGTCAGGCAAGTTCGCTCATCTTCTGGCAAAATATTCTTTCGAAACATCCTTGCTGCGGCGGAGCGAAACCAGGTCGACATTTGAGTGTTATCTAATTTAGTGTGAATACGTACATTTGTAAACAATGAAAGAATATTTGATCGAACCGTGAACAGATTGTGAGCAGAGCGCGAGCGGACCGATAGTGTGAATCGGGCCTTAAACTCGTTGAATTTGATTCTCTACGAAGTAAAAAAAATGTATATTTGCGAAAAAGAGTGACAAGTTTATATAATTTCATTATCCAAAAGTAATTCGATTTTTAATTTTATCTTGATAAATATCGAATTGATAAAAAAATTTGTATTATTTATAAAATTTCGTATCGCGTTTTGATTATATTTTATTATCTCATAAGCAACTCTCTTTTTTACAAATTGCATAAATATTCTATAAATTATTTTGTATAAACTTTTCTGTATAAACGTAATCTTTAATTTAAAGTATAAAAAAGTAATACGAAAATAATTTTATTTAATTTTCAATTTAGTAATACAATGTACAATTTTAAAATTGATATACGTCAATGTAAAATATTATTACTAAAAAAATATTATTATTATTTTCTAAAAGAAACAAAATAAAAATTAATTTTTATATATCTTTATCGATTGCAACATTAAATAAAATAGAATTTTATGTAGAATTCTCACAAAAAGGAATATTTTAAATTTACGATACGTATAATAATAAAATTCATTATACATTGGAATTATCTTAAAATTTATTATAATGTGCTTTGTATGTACATTTCTTTTTGAATTTTGATTACATACACATTAAATAATTTTCTAACTAAAAAATGCATACGTTTTATGTTACTGTGCAATATATTTAAAATCACAAGATTTTTATTTTATTATTTATAATGTGAAGTAATGCGTGAAAATGTCTTTATATTTTATGTTGGCGTGCAGTTTTTTTGAAATCATGAGATTCTTTTTTAATAATTATGATATGAATTAATTATATATAATTGCTGAAAATAATCGATGAATTATACATAATACTAAAAATTTTGCAATTTCAAGTCAATAAAAAGTATGTTGCAAGTCAATAAAAAATAAAATAAGAAAAATAAAAGAAATGAAAAAAATAAAAGAAAAAAGAAAAATACGTACCGTCGTTTCCATAAACATCTTTTTACATCGAGAAATCAATTTCAATGTAAAGAATATTAAAATTACGTTATTAAATATTCACAATAATTATATTTTTCTCTCTTAAATATAGTGTAATGAAAAAATATATTATATTTTTTATTGAAAAAGAAAGATTATTGGAAAAATTTTGCATCTTCAATATTTTATTGCTTTAGACATATCTATCTATCATTGTTACTATTATGGCTTTTTATTTATCATTGTTACTATTATGGTTTTTTATTTAAGAAGGAAATCTTAATGTATACAGATGATTTCTTTATTTTGCGATTTTTGAGAACCTGCAAATTTAATATCGAGAAAACTAAGCTCAAAATACGAAATTATCAAATGCATCGAGCTAAAATGCCAGAATGGTACGCAAACAGAGATCCGCTACAGCAAAAACTGCAGGAATTGCTCGAATTGGGGTAATCAAAATTATATCAAAATATAATTATATAAGAGTGTGAAGATTAAATTTTTCATAAATTTGACACAATATAAATATCTTAATTTTAATGTAATTTTATCTTCAATGATCAATTCTTCGACTATTTTGAAGTGGACTTTTAAATATGTTTTTATTTCTATCATATTATAATTTTATTAATAATTACTTTTAGTTATACATTTATCGAAAATTTATTTTATTTGCATTTGTTGATGATGCAATAATTGATTTTTCAACTTTAATTTTAACGCTGATAAAGCATTTTATATATATTTGTTGTACTCGTAAATCTAGATATAAACATTTTTGAGTGATTTGAAATATTTTATTTCCGCTTAGAATTTGTTTACCCTTGCGGAAATTGGACAATCAAGGAAGAATGGTTCTTCTCGGGCGCCTTATGCATAATCCAGACATATTTACATTAGCAGATGCACTTAAGGTATTAATGTAACACTCGAGAGAAATGTCATAAAAATAATATTAATTCAAAGCGATACTTTAAATTTGTTTACTTTTCGATGGCTGACTTTTTAGGCTGCGTCTTTGGCTCTAGATGTGGCCATAAGAGACAACGTTGAAGCATCTTTGTACGGTTTCGTAATAATTATAGATTTACAATATACAACTATGCGTCATATTGGTCAACTAGAAATTCGCACTTTAAAGAACCTGCTCCACGCGTGGTTTGATTGTTATCCCATAAAAATTCATTTGCTTAATTATGTTAACACGCCGGAATATGCTAAATTATTTATGGACGTCACTAGTTACATATTAAACGACAAGGTAAAGCAAAAATTACGTGTATACACGCGCAAGAGAGCACAGGATTGTTTTATCAATATGTCTAATATCTTACCTGTTGAATATGGCGGTACTGATGGTACAATTCAAGAATTGACAGGTAATTCATGTAAAGAATTAAGGAGTTTATTTAGCAATAATGGTGAAGAAAAATAAGTGCGTAAATATATATAATTAATATATATATATATATATATATGTATATATATATATATATATATATATATATATTATTAATAAATATATATATTTTTTAAATATATATAATTTTATTAAGTCGCAGTATTTCAAATCATTAAGCACTTGCGATAACGATATGAGCACTGAATATACATCTATATTAATCGTTTATGTTAAATAATATGATATCGTTTATGTTATATAATAGTTATATATCTCTTACATTTGCAGAATATTGGAAGAAAGTGGTCGAAGAGAATCGCGATTGGTTTATCGACGATGAAAAATATAAACCGGTTTTAAAATAATTTTGTCAATTAATATAATCTCGTCTAACTGTGCACATTTATTTTTTATCATAAACTTGTTTCACTTATCTTAATCTTGATTTATAATTTATCATATAACGAGAACCACTACACGAAACTTACTCTCCTCCTTTTTTGTTCTGTTTTATATATATTTAAATATTTTTACATCAAATTTTTTAAGAATGTGAAACTATTTGTTGCGACAAATCATTGTAAACGAAGACGAATCAATTTCCATTTCGATTGATGTTAAAAATACAATAGTGTTTTTTATTAAAATATACGAGTATTCAAATAACAAATAAGCAATTATATATTGGACTTAATTGTAAATGTAATAAATATTAATATATCCTAAAATATATTAATAAAATAATATAAAATTTTATAATATTTTTTTCTCGTAACTTACTGCAATTCTATCATTATTTCTATTGGAGAAAATGAAATTTCAGCAATAAAACATGTATTATTATTATTATTATTATTATTATTATTACATATATTGAAATATACTGAAAATAGATTTTATTTGAATTTTTTCAAGCCAGGGAACCTTATTAAAATGCAACAAATATATTAGCTCGAAAGCAATACAGTAATTTAGGGAAATCAAATTCTTCTCTTTTTTTTATATTTAATATTACTCTTTCGTTATTTTAGTTTCTGATCGTCGTTTCAATGAATTCTTGATTTGACGAATTTGAGATTCATGTAGGCCCGTATTTATAATCATGATTCTGCTGAGAGACTCAGCTGAAACTAATTTTGCGATATGATATGGTTTAATAAATAAATCTTAAAAATCAATATTGTATTCATTTATAATCTCGATTCAATAGAGATTCTCAGAGAAAGTTTGTCTTGTATCCATACAATTATTATAATGTAATCAGTATATTGATAATATATAATAGATAAATATATAATAGATTGATAATAATCCACTGATATGGATAATATAATCAATAATGTTATTTATCCTTGATCTAAAAATTAATAAACAGGAAAAAACATCACTAAATAATATTTACTAATTAAATTAATCGTGTTTAGACACTAGATCATACATAGTTCGCATAGAGTGATAAATTATAAACCTAAATATTATTTAAGTTACAGAGATATTGAAGTAATTTTATTATTTATGATTTATATATACATATTTAATATGTGTGTGTGTGTGTGTGTGTGGGTGTGGGTGTGTGTGTAAAAATAAATCATCGCATTTATTATAATCTATTTTAAATGCATCCGACAATTTAAAATATTTAAGAGCAAATAGCATTGTTTATTTTCAGAGATGATTTCCTGAATATTTATCACAAATTATGATAATGATTTTTTGATGTCTGTAAATGCCTCAAAGAAAAAATTTTTTAAATATAAAAATATCACTAAAATATTTTTTGAGGTATATATTTTTTAAAGATTACATAAAATATCTTGAAAATATAATAAGATATTTTCGGAAATTTTGCCAAAGAAGTATATTTTTAACACAGAATACATACATCATAAAAATAATATCGATTTATATCTTAAATATTCTATTTCTTAATGTTCTATTTTCTTTTATATCTTACGTAAACATATGCTTTATAATGATAAATAATTACATCAATAATTTCAAACAAAAAATATCAAAATATGTCAAGAACGCTGATATGTTCCTCGAATTGATCAATCTTTTTAATATAATATGTTCTAAAGAAATGATAAATACATACAGAAATCACATCAAAACCTTCTTTTTAAATTACAATCGCATTATAATAAATATGTCGATGAGATAATCTATTATTAATCATTGGACAGTGATTAAAATGACAAAAAATGCTGAGTGTCTATCAACGAATATAAAAGGTGTGTTTATACGTTTTCCAGATAAGATCACGAGAACATGGACGAACACACATTGCGAATAAATTTCCATATGTATATTATTATCGCTGTTCTACGCATGCGCGAAATAGCAAAAAATTCAGAGCTGGTATATAATCTAACAGACTTTGTTCAGTCGCATATGTGAGTGTCTTCTGAGTACAGAGTTCCGTGTTTATTATCATCACGATGGCAGATTCTCAGAGATCCGACAATATTACACATAACTTGACAATCGAGCAAAAAAAATATGCAGCGATTTAAATGAATCAGACGAGAATAGAGAAAAATCTATCGCGGAAATTAAACGCTGGATTCAAGAGAGCGATTTATGCGCACGAACTGGTAAAAACATCGATAATAATAGGTTAGAATAGAAAAATTTTTGTATGACATTCATTATTGAATGTTTTTTTGTTGACAAATTATTAATTTCGTAACATGAAAATAAAATTGTCTTGAATTAATAATAATTTTAACATATTAGAATGAATTAATATGAAATAATATGAAAATATATTTAAAAGTATTAAGCTCGTAGAAATGGACTTTGTACCGAATAAAAGTGTGTGATTATTTTTTTTTTTAAAAGAAGTGATAAATTTATATAATTTCAAAAATCAAAATAGGTACATAAGAGCCCACAGCGTGGTAGTTGGAGCACAGAGAAGAAACAATACTTCTTTTTTTTATTATTTGTTACTAAAAAATTTAAAATTAAAAATAACGGGCGAAAATAAAATACACCCGTTATTTTTAATTTTAAGTTTTAAGTAAACAAATAATAAAAAAGAAGGAACTGTTGTTTCTTCCCTGCGCTCTTATGTGCCAATTTTGATTTAATTTTTTTTTAGCCAAATTTCAAATTACTAATTTTATATAATTTTATTATACAAAAGTAATTTGACAATTTTGATAAGCTTTGATTTGATAAAAAAGTTCGTATTATTTATAAAATTCATGTCATGTTTTTATTTCATTATTTCCTAAACTAAGCAGTTCTCTTTTTTTAAAATTGTATAAATTATTTTCCATAAACTCTTCTACAAGCATACTTTTTAATAATTTAGAATATAAAAAAATAATATAAAAGTACAATTTAATAATAAAATTTTAAAATTGATACATGTGTTAATATGTTTAATATAAATGAAATATTATTACTGTTATTATTATTCTCTAAAAAAAGAAAATGGAAATTAATTTGTATGTATCTTCGTTTATTGCAACATTAAAATAGAATTTTAAAATTATTACAAAAAAGTATATTACAAATTTACGATTCGAAACGACAGAATTTATTATAAGTTTGTTAAAAATTATCTTAAAACATGTATTATAATGTACATTATATGTACGCTATTTTTGCACTGTTTCATATATACATTAAATAACTTTTTAATCATGTTTTTAATGCTGTATTTAAAGTCACAAGATTTCTATTCATTATTTATGACATAAAATACTAAATAAATCTTTTTATATTTTATATTGACTGAGACTGCTTTGATAAGATTATTATTCATGATAATTATAATGCAAAATAGATAATATTGTTGAGTAAGAATCTAGTGATTTGAAATGTAACTCAAACCAACGTCATTTCGACGAGAACGTTTAGTATATTTGTTACATGTATTTTTACATCGATATTAAATACTTGTATAATATATGTATGTGTATTCATATACACATGTTGTATAGATATTGACATTTTTCCAGTGCATGCAGTCAGCAATTTATTATATATTTTTTTAAGCACATATTTGTAATATTGCAAAGAATATTAAAATTGCGTCATTAAATATTCACATAATAATTTTTACGTCTTTTTCTTTTTTTGAATATCATATAATAAAAGAATCTATTATATTTGTTATTGAAGAAAGATTATTAAAGAAAGATTATTGGAAAAATTTCCCATTTTTCCAAATTTTATCTCTTTAGATATATATAGATATATCTGTAAAGTATATCAAATATTAATACAATTATCGCTCTTATTTGAGAAAAAATTTTAATATATATACAGATGATTTCTTCATTTTGCGATTTTTGAGAGTCTGCAAATTTAATCTCGAGCGTACAAAGGCCAAGATACGGAATTATCAAATACAGAGAGCAAAGATACCAGAATGGTATGCGAACAGAGATCCGTTACAACTAAGACTGCAACAATTGTTAGATTTGGGGTAAGAAAAATTATTCCTAAATGTAATTATAAAAGTGCGAAAATTTGAAGTTTTCATAAATTCATCCAAGCCCAATATATTTCTATAAGGATATCTTTTTATAAATTCATCCAAGACAAATTTATACGTAAATATTTTGCATCCCAATTAATCTATAAAAATTTCATTTATGCAGTTTGCTTTTTAAGTTTAATTTTAATAGTTAATAAAGTATTTTATATATATTCGCCGTAAAATTAGATATAAACATTTTTGATAGATTTTGAAATATTTTATTTCCGCTTAGAATTTGTTTACCCTTGCGGAAATTGGACAATCAAGGAAGAATGATTCTCCTCGGGCGGCTTGTGCATAATCCAAGCATATTTACATTAGCAGATGCACTTAAGGTATTATTAATATAACACTCGAAAGAAGTGTCATAAAAATAATATTAATTTAAAGCGATACTTTAAATTTGTTTATAATTTTCGATGGCTGACATTTTAGGCCGCATCCTTGGCTCTAGATGTAGCCATAAGAGACAACGTTGAAGCATCCTTGTACGGTTTCGTAATAATTGTAGATTTACAATATATAACTTTGCGTCATATTGGTCAAATAGAAATTCGCACTTTAAAAAACCTGCTCCACGCGTGGCAGAGTTGCTATCCTGTCAGAATTCAATTGCTTAACTATGTTAATACTCCCGGATACGCTAAATTATTCATGGACATCACTAGTTATATATTGAGCGACAAAATAAAGCAAAGACTGCGTGTATACACGCGCAAAACAACGCCTGATTGTTTTATGAACATGCCAGCTAATATCTTACCTGTTGAATATGGCGGCACTGATGGTACAATTCAAGAATTAACAGGTAACTCGTGTAAAGAATTAAGGATTTTACTTAGCAATAATGGTGAAGAAAAATAAGTGCGTAAATATATATAATTTTTTATTACTAGTCACAGTATTTCAAATCATTAAGCATTTGCGATAACGATACGAGCACTGAATATATATATATATATATATATATATATATATATATATTAATCGTTTATGTTATATAATATGTTATATAATATGTTATCTCTTACATTTGCAGAATATTGGAAGAGAGTAGTCGAAGAGAATCGCGATTGGTTTATCGATGATGAAAAATATAAACCAATTTTGAAATAGTATAACAGGTTCAAATTAATTTTTTCGAATAAAATATTGAAACTATATGATTCGCCGTAAAACTAGATATAAACATTTTTGATAGATTTTGAAATATTTTATTTCCGCTTAGAATTTGTTTACCCTTGCGGAAATTGGACAATCAAGGAAGAATGGTTCTTTTTGGGCGGCTTGTGCATAATCCAAACATATTTACATTAGCAGATGCACTTAAGGTATTATTAATATAACACTCGAAAGAAATGTCATAAAAATAATAAATGAAACTATGAGAGCAATGATAGCGATTAACATGATATAATCAATCGAACGAGCACAAAATATATAGATTAAAATTCTCTTATAATATATATGTAATATAATTAAAATTAAGTGAAATTTATATGTAAATTTAAAGAAAGTTAAGATTATGTAAAGGCATTTATTTCTCTCCATTTTCTTTTTCCATCATAAGTTTGCTTCGTTTTTACATTTTTATTTTTATATAAATAAAAATAATTTATACAACGGGAACCATCACTTGAAATTGCTGTTTTTTTCTCTTTTAGTTTAGAAATATATTTACGTCAAATTTCTGAGAAAATTCTGAGGATTATTTGACTAACGAAAAACTACTGCAAACGAGAGACAGTGAATCAATCTTGTTTGATATTGAATTATACTTTATTATTTATTATTTTATATTTATTGGTATTTTAAGCAAATTCAAAAAGTCTGAAATTCGGTCGATAATGACACGATCAGAATTTTTGACATTTCTCTTTAAAATATGATTTATAAGGAAGAGAGAGAAAATCCATTCTTTGATCTGGCAAATATAAATATAAATGTGTGGATATACTTGATAATATCCTGTAATCTTTTCTGAGAATATTATAAACTTTCTCTCTCTAACTATTCTCTCTCGAAAATCTAATACACAAATATAATGTTAACATATAATATTAATAAATATAATATACAGATTATATTTTTATAAAATTATATATTTAATTTTAATACATTAATTATATCTTTAATTTTTTATTATTTAATAATATTTTATAAAATATAATATAAAATCATTCTAAGAGAAAGTTCGCTCAAATTTCAAGCTATATATCTGAATTTTTAAACTTTTGACGCGAAATATCTCTTGCACGCGTCGATTACGGAATCACCTTACATTTAGTGTATTAAAAAAAAAAAGCGAAATAATATTATAACGTTATATCGACTCCGCAGTGTAAAAAAACGCAACATCACTAGAGCGGCGATTCGGTAACGTGTAGTTGACAGCGCGCCAGGTATAATGAGATTTTGCCGGAAGTCGCGTCGAAGAGGAGGACTGAGGCAGCCCTCCTCCCCCACCCCCTGGTCGGCATTCTCTCCGTCCGTACAGAAGCGCAGTCTTCTCAGAGGGGTGTCGGGCCCCCACGAACGAATCTAATTAAACGCTAAATTGTTATTTTAAGTTTAATAACAACCATAATGATCTCGCGCCCGAGCGGGGGCTCTGTTATTATCTAGATTGCATATTTTCTGGTAGATTAAGTTCCTTATAAGCGAAAGAGAGAGCTGCGTGCTCCCGACAAGCGGAGCAAGAAGGCCCCTTGGGATGAGCTGAATCGTGCCTGCAACGTACATACAATGCGGTGCAACGTCATTCGCAAACTGCACCTCGCGGCGCATACAACGGGCCAATTACGCGTCCTGCTGCCGCGGGGAATATGGGAAGCATCCCCGGATTGTAAAAAGATTATATCGTTATTTTTGTAGTCAATTAAGACAATTATTTTGCGCAACTTTTTTAATGTACAATTTTTCTTTTTAATTAAAGTAACACAATTTCCACGGTGTCCACTCTGTGGAAAAATATTGAGAATCTGGATCTTCTCTCTCTTGGGGATTTATTCTGTGGAAAAAAAAATAGGGATAATACTCGTGGAATTTTATTGGAAGTCATGGAATTTCTTTTTAAAATTCTCTCTTTGATAATTTTACTGTTGTAAACAGCTGACAAGCCAAGTAAATTATGCATTTAAAATATATTTTCTCTGTTTTTATATATTCATTGCTCTAATATTGAATATACAGTGTATATTTTTATTGTAATTTTTAATGATAAAATGAAAATATTATACAAATGAACAATATTTATTTTACGAAAGTTATCTTCATACTTATACAAAATTATACGAAAGTTGCATGAAAGCATATTTATACAAAAATCTAACTTGAACAAATATTTAAGATATTCGTTTTATTTGAAATTTATAATAAAAATACTTGACAAATCAGGGAATTTTTACAAGACTTGAATAGACACTCTGATTTTGTAAAATTATGAAAGACTCGAAATGCGCAATCCCAGGAATTATTTCATGCATAGTGTAAAAATTTGCTAACGTGAAAAATTATATATTATTTGAAAATTTATATATTTGTATTTTGAATTGCGTATTTTTGTAAGAATTGATTTTTAAAATTAAAATTCATACTTCGATGACTGTCACCGAGATAACACATGCAAAATTCGCGATGGTTCAGTGCGATTGAAGTCCTCATCGTCGCTTTTAAATAAACCGCGTATGTATTTTTATTAACGCTAACTCTTTAAATGACTACTCGCTCATAAGTAGTGCGTTCTCGGGGAACGATTCGTCATCGCTGTTTCCACGTGAACGGATCGCGAAACACGGCGCAGCAATGTGTTTCTTGCAATCGTGACATAGGTATGTTTCTTCCCATCATACCATTTTCCTCGGCTTCTCTTTCATCCCCCTCGCCGGTTACGCGGCGTTGACAGCAATTATGTTGTCGGAAAAACCGCTGGCGAAAATTACACGAGCATGGTATGCGACTTAGGTAAGAGCTAACGCTCTCTTTACAAACTCGTATGTGCTTACAACCATACACGAGAACATAGGATAATATTAAATATAATTTTTATACATAATCTAATATTTATTATAATTATTTTTCTTATAAATTCTTCTATATAAATTTTAATTCTAACATTACATCATGAAAATATCACACAAAGTATAAAAGGAAAATTTTCTTTTATTTTTAATTTCAATTTTTAATCATCTACTTTAAGCAATTAGATACTTTATTTTGAAATTATTTAATTCATAATTTTGTCGAAAACTTTCCTTTTAAATCTCTAAATGTAAAACTGTTTATTTACTATCTACTTGAAATAGAAAATAGAAGTAGAGAGAGATGCTTAATATTTATAAAATAAATCCTATCAAAAATCTAGATTCCATAAATGAGAAAATTAATTGAGCAAAATAGAAGATAGGAGCAAATAAAATGACATTATCATTAAAATGCATATTTTATTGTATGTAAAGAAAGAAGAGAGAGAATGTTTTTAATAAAGCATTTATTTAGCGAAAGGGCAACTATGCCCGGAGTAATTATTTTATTGCAATTAGAGAGGACTTATATATCTCCGGAAAAAGAGGGAGCAAACGCGATCCCCTTTAAACGAACCGTCACCTCAAGAATTCTCTACCAGCATATTCCTTCTTATGATCGAGTTTAGCCAGGTACAAAGGAAGTGCTCTCTCTCTTTCTCTCTCTCTCTCTCTGTCCCTCCCTTTCTCATCCTAATGACAGTGTCTAAAAAGTGCCGGCGGGTTTGCCAACTAAGGGGCACTATCCAGCTATGTCCAGCGCTATACAAAATTGGTTCTTAAAATCGTATTAAGATATTAATTATTATGCGAGGCGTGTATCCGCCACTTTGCCACGGTTTAAATCGATAAGAACCACATCGGCACGAAAAGTCGCTCCTTTCATCGTTTCTTTTCTTGGCGAACAGAAAAGAATTTCACTCGAAATGGTAAGGCATCATTTCTTATATCGAAAACCGGATGAACTTTCACCGAAGACCAAAATTGCTCCGAAGTGCTGGAATTTCGTGGCGTCAATATCCCAACAGAAGACGTGATCGAATGACATGTGACTTGTCATCTGGGAGAAAGATGGATCGAAGTGTATCGAGGAAATTGTTTTATGTGTATTTAAATTGCAGACAATATGACCGCTTCTCGCTTAAGAATAATCCATTTCTATTTTAATTACGTATACTTATTTATAGAAAATTAATTATAGAAAATTAATTATGGAAAATTAATTTTTCTTTCAATATCCTTTCCCTTTCTTTCTTACAGGCTCTCCCTGCGAGCACGACGGGATCTGCGTGAACACCCCCGGGTCCTTCGCGTGCAATTGCACGCAAGGATTCACCGGGCCGCGATGCGAGACGAACGTGAACGAGTGCGAGTCGCATCCCTGCCAGAACGACGGTTCCTGCCTGGACGATCCTGGGACCTTCCGATGCGTCTGCATGCCTGGTAAGTACGTCTCCTCCTCTGCGCTTCATCTCACGGGCCCTTTTTAACGTCGCGTCTCACGCCCTTTTGTCTTTTTCTCGAGAGAAAGCAGCATGTGTGCGTCTGAAAAGGGACGGATAATTCGTCTGCTTCCTCGCGTGACCGCGAGCGATCGAGAAACGCACCTCGGGTCGCTTTCACGGTGGCAATTTCGCCGCAAATTTTGTCGTTTATATTCGCGCAAGTAGAGTCCACCAAAGTGTATATCTGCCACGTACTTCCGCGCGCTTTTCGATCGTTTTCGGCAAAAAGTTCGCCGAGAAAGTCGCAATTATCTCGAGAGGTGCCCGCTTCCCTCGTTCGTTTTCGCGGCCCTCTCACTCCTCTCGAAACGACGCGGTGGCTTTTTGCGTCCTCGCGTGAGTCGTTTGTATAAAAGCGAAAAAGGTTCCTTCCGTTGGAAAGTTACGTCTCCTTATGGTAACGGTAAGCCGTGCCCATTATGTCGACAAAGAAAACAGCCGAAAATGTAATCAGGTTTAAATTATAGCTAAGATTTATGACGCCAGAGCAAAAAGACCGTAACGAGAAGAGAAATCTTCCTGATTTGTTTTAGCGGCACGTCATTAGTTTTTATTTTAAATCTCACGCCTCTAGGAGGACAGGATGTCTTTTCTCTGGAGAAATATGGAATTCTGAGGGACTCCTTTTGTATAGAAAAATCAGGAAATTATTATGGAGAAATCAGAGAATTATATTGGGATTTGAGAAATTTTTTCCAAATTTCTGTACAAGGTTATGCTTTTATTTTAAATAATCCGTTGATAAGCTAAATTATATAATTCTATTCACCTGGAATTTATTGAATAAAAATATTCTGGACATCAGAGAATTTTTTAAAGATTTGAGTAGACATTGAAGGTAATCTTTAGCGGCACATTATTAGTTTTTACCTTTTTATTTTAAATCTCACGCCTCTAGAAGGACAGTGTCTTTTCTCTAAAGAAATATGGAATTCTCAGGGATTTCTTTTGTATAGAAAAATTAGGAAATTATTGGAAAGAGATCAGGGAATTATATTGGGATTCGAGAAATTTTTCAAAAATTTTCTGTATAAGATTGTGCTTTTGTTTTAAATATTCTGTCGATAAGCCAAATTATAAATTATGTGTTAAAATATATTTTATAAATATATATAATATAATATAATTACAAATAATTTTATATAACATATATATATATATTTTACATAACGTCTAATAATTCAATGTCTTAAAAAATATTGAATATGCAGTACATATCCTTTTTATTTTAATGAAAGGATTTAAATTTTAATTGATGAAGAAATGAAAAATGTATAAATAAAAGTAAAATTTATTTTAGAGTTTAGTTATATCAAAACATTTCTAAAATATTCTATTCACGTTCGGAATTTTTTATAGAATAATTTTATAGATTAATTTTTTATAAAAATATTCAAAAAACAGAGAACTTTTTAAAAATTTGAGTAGACACTTTCTGGAGGAGATCCTTTTACAGTACGATATTTTAAGAATTTTAAGATGATCTGACAATGTTTTTCAAGCCAAGCTCGCGATGCGATTTTCGCGGGAAGTCGCGAGATGAGAGACGCGCGAAAAGACGCGATCCGCCGCGCGCGATAGGGGCAGTCTTGGCAGGCTGCTGGATCCTGGACCCTAGATCCCGGGGCCCCGGGGGCCCTCGTGTCACCGGTAAATTCTTCCGAGATGACAGCGCGCCGCGGTGTACATTATCTGATACCCGCGAGGGCAGCGACCGGTTGCTCCCTCGACGCAGAGTGCGCGTAAGTCAGCCTTAATTGTTTGACGCGATCTATCCCTCCGTCTGTCTCGAGGATCCCTTAAGGGTCTCCGAGAGATATAGGAGCCGCGAGAGATCCGCCCGATCGATAATCGATATAATCGACGACGAGAGACTCATGTCACTGTTGATATCACCAACGAATCTCGCAAAATCTCGCCGGAGAATTCTGTGTCTCGAGTTTATTTACGATGCAGTACACACACATACACAGTTCGCTTCTTGTAGAATTGATAGCGATGATTATAAAGAATATAAATGATCCAGATTAAATAGTAAATAGCTGGAGATGAAGGTTGTTTATAGCTCCGCGTGGTTCTCATCAGTTGTTAGATCGGAGTTGTTAGTGTTCTTCTAATACGTACTTGTGGCGAGCCTTTGATAATTAAAGGCAAATATCATTATACACTCTCATTAAGTTATATTGTGCACTCTATAATTAGACTTTTACCGGATTAAAATAAATTAAAATAAAATATATTTACTAGTATTTCTGTTTCTGTCTGAAAAAATTGAATTCTTATTTTCTAAATTGAAAATTGAGATCAAAAATAAGAGAAAAATTATAACTTGGGTAAAATAAAGCTTGAAAAGTTAAATATTATTTTCTGAATTTAAAATTGAGATAAAAAATAAGAAAAAAATTATAATTCGAGTAAAATAAAGCTTGAAAAGTTAAATATTATTTTCTGAATTGAAAATTGAGATAAAAAATAAGAAAAAAATTATAACTCGGGTAAAATAAAGTTTGGAAAGTTAAATATCATATCGATATTACTTCTTACATCTTTTGTACTGGATCATCGTACAACTTTCATATTCTCACGCGAAAAAAAATATTGAAATGCGCCAGTTATACGTCCATTGTATTAGTGAATGGTCGGTCAAGTCCCTTAGCGTCGAGGAGGAGCCGTGCCTCGAAAAGACCGGACGGAGGAAATCGAGGGTCCGAAAAGTGAGATAACAAAAAATGAGAGATTCCCGGGCCCCTCGAAGCGAGGCCTGATGGCGTGACGTGGGGGAGGGGCGGGGGAGGAAGGGGGATCGGGGCGGTATAAAATATGATAGCGGGATTCGCGAAATATGAGACCGAGACGACGTTGCCCCGGGGCCCGCGGGGGCACAAAGGCTTATCTTGTCCCTCCGCCATTTTGGTGCTCCACCTCCCCCGCTTCTGCGTCTCGTTCCTCCTCTCGTTTTCCACCTTCTCGAACTCCTTCTCGTCTTTTTCGTCTCTTCTTGCCTCGACCCTGCGTCGTGCCTTCCTTTCTTGTCGGGTCCCTGCTGTCCCGTAAAAGGATCCGCTAAGTAGCGCTAAGAGCTTCGAGGAAAGAGGATACTCGGGCATTCAGAATTTTGCACGACGCGGACCCGCACAGCCTATTGCACGCCCCATTATACCCCCCATTGTACCCCTTTATAATTGTCGTGAACGCAGCTCCCCCGCATCTCTCCGTTTCGAGTTGACGTAATGAGAGAAGCTTCCCTTCCTCATCTCGGAGAGAGCGTTGCTCGTTCGCGAATTGGATCTGAATCGCGAAATATCGTTATTTTTTTGAATACCGAATAATTAAAAATGAAACAATAAAACTTGCTACAATCTTTAATATAATTTATATAATTATAATTATAATTATATAAATTATATTAATTTAAAGATTGTTACAAGTTTTATTGTTTTATTTTTAATTATTCGATTTTTAAAGAAAGAATATATTAATTTATATAATTATAAATTAATATAATTTTTATATATTTATTAATTAATATATTTATATATTTATTAATTTATATAATTTTTATATAATAATATTTTTCGTATAATTTGCAGTCTTTAAATTAATTATTTTCACTATCGAGCATATTCATAGTTTTTTCGCACGACTCGGAATCTCGTCGAGCACGCATTTTATTATCATATCGCGGATATCGCTGGGTGTGTCCGCCGTATTGTGCTCATACATACGTACTTCCTACGCGGGTTTATGATTATCTGCGTATATAATGAAGAGGAGGAGCGGCACGAGATCTCCCAGTGTCATTGACGGACGAGAGCAATTACGCCGCTATTGCGTCTTCTACCGGGCGATCTGATAGTACGGGCTCTTTTTCTGGCTGATGAATGCTCGCGCGATGCAAGCTCGTGGGTCGTGAAAAATACGGATTAATAAATCGGTAGCGCGGCGAGAGATACGCCATGGATTGCATCAGCTCGATATTAAACAACACGTGGATGTAATGAGTTGGTCCTTCCTACCAATAGATCGTTAAAATTGCACAAGCGCTCGTCTGTGTCGACTATCAGTAACGACCTAAGGTTCTCTTGAGTCGTTTGATATTTCTTGGTGAGAAAGATTTCAGCGAGGTCCTTGCTTTTTTTCTCCCTTTGGCATCGACAATAAATTCTATCATAGAATGCCATTAGCCGAAATATTTCAATATTTATAAAATATTATAAGGATTTTAAGATAAATTTGATTAATATAAGAATATTATTAATTTTTAAATTTAATTAATATTATTAAATTAAATTCTTATTTTGTAAATTTTTAAATAGGAAGTAAACGAATAGTTTTTCATTTAAGATTGAAAAGAGTCCGATTATAATATTTCTTGGACGAAACTTTAGATTAAAAGGTTTCTGATTTTTTTAAGTATCCAAGTAGATATTGAATTGAAAATTAAGAAAAAGAATAAGAAAAAGAAATTTCGATCTGGAATAAAAATTTAAATCCCTCTTTGCGGTGACTCGAGGTGAATTCTTTTTTCAATAAGCTAGCTGTTGCGTGCAATTGGGTGCAATTTCTAGTCTTGCAACTCGGACTTGCCGCGGTCTTCCGGTCGGACCGTAATGCGGATAAAGATGACACGAAGCCGGCGAAGGGAAGGCACTACAAATCGCCGCGCAAACACACTCCGACACACAAGGCGAAACAATGTTATCCGACACGCCATCACGCGCCCAGGTACACTTCCAGGTGTTCACGTGGAACAGGAATTTTGCCGTTTCTCGCCTCTCGAGGGAGCGTCGGAGGGAAATTAAAACGGCTTCTCTTAATTCTCGGACCTGGCGTACAGAGATAATCGATCGACTACCGTTGAAAAACGATGTAAAAAAAAAGGGGACCTTCGAATGGGACCGACTCGAGTGATCGAGACATATTTTACTGTCACGCGCA